GACAAAGCCCTGATTGACTTTAAAAAAAAGAGCCTGGCTCAGTGGCTCAGCCTGTAATCCCGCCCCTTGGGAGGCTGAGGTGAGTGGATTGCCTGAGCCCACGGGTTCGAGACCCGCCTGGGCAGCTTGGTGAGACCTCATCTCTACAATAAATTAGCCAGGTGTGGTAGCACGCACCTGTAGTTCCAGCTACTTGGAAGGCTAGGCGGAAGGATCACCGGGAGCAGCCACTGCACTCCAGTCTGGGCGACAGAGTGAGACTCCAACTCAAAAACAAAAACAAAAAAAAGAATTAGAACATCGAGTTAAAGAATATGTAAATTAATATCAAAGTATTTGATATTAGCACGTGTCTACTTAAGACTTCCCCTTTCTTTCTTTCTTTCTTTCTTTCTTTCTTTCTTTCTTTCTTTCTTTCTTTTTTTTTGAGAAAGTAGGAGTTTATTAAGAAGACAGAAAAGCTCCTGCAGTGGGAGGGGACCCGAAAGAGGGCTGCCAGAAACTTTCCCTTTGTTCTTCAAATCATTCACAAGGGGGGTTTTCTTTCTATGTAGTCACTTTTTTCTCAGTAAGATAAAGCCATTGAGTTGCAGATCTGTTGTTGGCATTAGCATGATTTAGTCAAAAGCTATGGTGGGAGGAGACACCAAGTGCCCAGTGTGCAAGAAGCAATGTGAAATGTGTTAGCATCTTAGTGAAGTGTGAGATAACACCAAGGATTTGTATAGTATCTATCTTTTAAGAGGCTTTTTGACTGGTGGGAAAACAAAAGTTAATACGATGAAGTAGCACTTTTGATTATGAATTCGGTGATAATGTCCACATTTCATATAGCTTATGAAAAAAGGCTGTTAATCAGCTTTCGGTTGAATAAATCCAGCTTGCTTATTTATAACTCACAAAATTCCCCTCAAGGGAAACTGAAGAAATTCCAGCCAGGAGTCCAGCTCAGGAAGGTAGAACTTCAGAAAGAGTTGTGAGAAGACGAGGACATTCCACAGAAGATGATTTGGGTAGACAAAGCTGGAAGGATGAGTAGACATCAGTAAGAATCACGCTCAGGAGACCCCAATACTAGCAGCAGGCCCAAAGAAAGGAGTTGAGTCCATTAGGAACAAGGGTGCTTATTTGTTAATATCGAGATGACCCCAGCTTGACTTGTTAGTAGAAAGATGCATGGTCGGGGTGGATGGACCAGAAATGTGAGGTGGAAGTAGAAGTCAGTGTTGATGTCCTTCAAAGTCTACACGACTCCTTCTCCATGTTGGCCATGGTACTATTCCTGAAGATGTAAGGGACAGTGGCAAGAGAAGCCAGAGAACAAAAAGGCAAAGCAACGGTGTCAAAGCCACCGGCAATCAGGCTCTTATTCATCCATGATGTCTCCGCCTTATGAACATGGAAAGCTGAAATTTGATTTTCATTAATCAGTTTTACTTCTTTCAAAATTGAAAAGACCTTAGTATACCCCACCTACTTTCAGTAGTTGTTCTTTTGTACTGAGTTTACTGCTCTCCGCATTTTGACAGGCTCCAAAAATAATGACCTGTGTTGTGTGTTGTTAAACGTTCAGTCAGACAGATAGATACAGATGGATGAGTGCTGTGTTGCACAAAGACAAGTCAGCATTATTTAATCAATGTTTGTTTGATCCGTGTAAAACGAGTATAAATGTAAGCTGCACCCCATCTGTTTTATCATCCATGTGAAGCCAACCTCATTTTTAAAACTTGATTTCTTATGTAATTGCCCTAGAATGACACAGGATGATAAGTCGGGAAGAAATATCATTCGGACTGGGGAGAAAAAGGATAGTCATTCCTGTTCTGGTGTCTTTTGTATATTGGGCTTCTTCATTTTGCAGTGGAGTTCAGAATAGTTAGGGAGCGTTGTGGCTTAGGAATGACCCACCGATAATGAAGATCAGCTGAGCTTTGGAGTCGAGCAGACCTGGGTTTGAGGGTAACTATGTGAATCTAGCTGTATGAACTTAGCCAAACTACTTAAACATCAAGTAGCACAGTGTCTGTCACAGTGAAGGCTCTCGGTAAGAACCATTAATCTTTATTTAATTCAGTTTTCTAACCTGGCAAATTGGAAAAAAACGATACCTACCTTATAACGACTGTGAAAATTAAATGGAACGCTGCATATAAAGGATGGTGACCTAGCAGCTATTGTTATACTTATCTTCTTACCCATAGGACTTCTTCTCACGGGCCACTTGAAACCTAAGCATACAGATATAAAATATATAATAAAAATAAAATATATATTATATATAATAAAATATACATATATATTTTTTTTAAAGCAGGATCTATTGAGAGGACAGAAAAGCTCCCACAGTGGGAGAGGACCCAAGAGGGTTGCCCGAAACCTAAGCATATTAACATACGTGGCATATAACTCATGTTTCTATTACCAGTTTTTAAAGTCTTCAATGTCGGTGTCAAATAAATCATGCAGAGGGTTGAGAACATGTGGCAAGAGTGGAAATGCCCCTGAGTTAACAGAACCTTTCAGTTGATAGATGCAATTTCATGACTGGAATTAAATGTATGCTATCTTATACATCTATGGATGGTCTTAGTCGGATTAAAACAAGGCTATCTTCTACCAAAAGCACTGTACATACATCAGTGAGTTTAGTAACTTCTCGGGATAATTGAGAGAACGATGTATAAAAAGCGTATATGCCCAGCATGTTCATCAGTGTGAAGTGAAATAGCAGTGGTGGTTATAATTTCATTATCACACGCTTAATTTCCAAGCCATATGGTAATGAGCGTAGGTATTAAAAATGTGGGTATACTGTACAGGTTTCCACAGTGTGTTCTCTCTCGTGTTACACAGAGGAATTGTTCCACGGCTTCCTTTTATTTCTCAAAAACGATTGTTTATCAATTCTATTTATTTATTTAAAAACCATCTGTTGACCCATCTACTGAGCCAGGTGTAACATAAATGCAAAGATGCCTAAAGCCACTTGGGTAGGACCGTGGCTAAGGAAGTTAGAATTAGGCGGTAGGTCATCCAGAGTCAGTGGAAGTTCTTCAGCAGGGAGCTAACCTGTCCAGGGCATCCCTGCTTTCGAAAGACAATGTCAGCAGCAGTATAAAAAAATGACTTGGAGTAAGAAACTAGAGGAAGGAGCTCAGTCAGACAACAGATACTGAAGGTCCGGATGTAGGGAGCAGCAGTAAGATTACATGTAGCTTCAGGACCAATTTGAGAGATTTTTTAAAGGCATGTGTTGGTCACTGAGTGGCGCTGCTCTGTGTGGACGAGGCAAGAGGCTGACTTGAAGGCCTTCACCTGGGCATCTGAGTTCTCCAGTTCCGCCAGCTCGAGAGGATTATATATTATATTTATATATATTATTAACGTATATTAATATGTACGTTTACTACATATAATTAATATATGCATATAATTAATGCATATTAATGTATTATACCAATGCTAAGAAGGAATTATATTCTGCAGGGGAGAAGATACATTTCCCTGGAAGAACAAGCTAGAAAGTCACTCAGTTGCATTATTCTTTAGACTCTAAGGCATGGTTATTATTTTTCTGAATACTGTTCAGTGACCAAGTATTTTATATAGAGATTAACATGGGCTAAGAAAGAAAAAATGTTTTATAATCCTTAGTAAATTAGAGGCTATAATCTGTACTGCTGAGAATTTTAGTATGTTTGGAGGCTATTCAAGAATACCCATATTGGCTTGGCTCTGCATTGGTGAGTTTTACTGTTGGGCTGACTGAACTCTGTGCCTTTTAACAGAAAATATACACATTTTTAATATTGTGATAGCTGCTGGATATGATTTATTTAAACTTCTACTTATACACATAAAGGTATGGAATATACTTAGTATCAAAAATAACTGCTTAAATTCTAACATAGTGTCTTTACTTTGTTAAAATTTTACCTGGCTGTAAACCTATTTTATCGTTATTTTTGAACACTGGATTGTGATCATTTAAAATCATGTTTATGTAATTACTGAACTCCTGTTTCCACATAACCATGAAATTATAAACCTTAAAAATATGTCAGTTCCTATGATGAAAGAAAATGTGTTTTGATTTCCATAACATTGCAGGAAATTATAAAGTCCCTTCGAGTTTTATAATCAAACCTGAATTTGGTCTTGAAATCATGGTTCTACTTATATATTTTTAAATGATATATTTTATATCTGTGCAATATTTATATCGTTGAATAATTGTAGTTGGATTAAGACATCAAGGAAAGACAAAATGAGATAAAAATAAGCAATAAAAGAAGGCAAACTATAAATATAACCACACATAATGGTAAATAAAAAGATATATTGTTAAACAGAAAAACAATTAAGCTTTATGGCATTGGGTGAAAAATTGTTATTCTAAGACGAGTATTAGATTTAACTGACTTCTTGACTGTTATTGTTAACTGTTTGAAATGTACACTTTGCCTTGTGATATTGGTCATAGTGTGTTAGGAAGAAACCGACAAAACCTTAAATTGCCATTAAGTTGTGAGCATGTAGGTGAAGAACAAACAGGGAAGCCTGGGCCCGAGGAAGCCAATGAAAGACAATCGACTTAAAGACTGAGATTAGTCCAGATAGGAAAGAGTAGGGAAGACAAAATAATGTTCACAAAACCAGAAGGAATGTTGAACCACGATGACTTGTCAATGGCAGCAGCAGAGAGGCCAGTGGAAAAGTAAAAAATAAAAACCTGCCTTTCCAATATTCACAGAACATCTATATCGATTCTTTTTTGTTTGGATCAATGTTGGTGACTATCACTGTTTCTGACGATGATTAATCATTTCATGTGATGCTGGTTGTATTAATGTTCAGCTTCACAGTTGGGATCATCTTGATGATGTATGGCTTCAGAATTTTCTTTTTAAATCATATCTGTTACTTGTGATAAATGCCTATAATCCAGTGTTTTTCAGTATTGACTTTTGTGTGTGTGTGCTGTTTTTCTTTTGAAGTCCATTGACCCTGGCCAGCAGTTCACATGGGAACATTCAAACTTGGAAGTAAACAAACCAAAGAATAGATATGCAAATGTGATTGCCTATGATCATTCCCGGGTTCTCCTATCAGCCATAGAAGGTAAGAAAATACAGACATCTTCAATACCTTTATTTTCGTGGGTTTAAGTGGGCGCATGAGAATATACTTTTAGCTTGTTAGCCGTCTATGAAAGTAGGTACTTAAGATTCAGACACGGCTAGTTCTTGCTTTTCCTTTCCCACACAGATACAACAGACATAGGCACCGTGTGGCAGAATGGCATCCATATCCCTCCTTACCTCCTTGCCTTTACGCTAGGTTAAAGACTTGACCTTGTAGTTGATGTTTTCATTGGGAAACACTTTGGGCTTGCCCATTGTACTGATGGCTTTTGGTTGTTATGAACGAACAGGTGATTGTCAGAAGAGGTTCATAAATTAACTAGTAGTTTCAAGAAGAGGGTTTATTCTAAACAATTGTAAATAAATCTGGATAAGCACTGGGGACAGTCTAAAGATTAGGGGTTGGCAATGTTTGGATTCATGTAAATTAAGCACAATGGAAATGTCTGATCTATCTAACTTGTGAACTGCTTAGTAATCTGTCGCTCACAATTGTAGTAAGATGTGTATTCCAGAGAGAATAATAGCTCCTAAAAGATGAGGGTTACTCCTCAAATACATCTAGCTTCATTGAGAATTCATGAGGAGGGTAGTTTCTCTTCACCTCTTTCCACTGATGAATAGCTTTCACCTGGCATTTAAAAACAATTAGGAGTTATTGCTTAACACTCAGCATTTTATTAGTCTTTCTGGCAATAGTAGTACATTGGATTGCAACGTCCTCAGAAAATAGTTTAGAAACCACTTCAATCCTTCCTTGTGTGCAATAACAGCTATCCTGGGCCACCGCTTGTCACATGCCATGTCTATCCTCACTGGTACCCAGAAGAGTTCTGTGGCCTCTTCATACTTGAAAGTTCCCTGTTTACCTTCCTACAGATGTTTTATAAAATATGGAATAATAACAGTGCAGGCCTCAGACCCAGTCCTTTTACGGGCTTTACAGTCGAAAGAATTTCATCTACAGTTGTTCAAATTTCTTTCCTTTTTTTTTTTTTTTTTTTGTTTCCATATATCTTTCAAGTATCTTTCCTCATTTTTTTGCCTTCAAAATATATGATGCCTGCTATTTTATTTCATAGCTCTGATTAAGTCCAACCTGCTTCCTTAGTGTCCAGAATTAATTTGAAAGTGAGACACTGCTTAAAAGCTTTCCCACTAAGCATCAAAGTCAACTAATACATTTATTTCCAGTTCTTTGGGAAGAACTCTCTTCCAGCGCTTGAACAGGTCTGCATCAAGTTGGTGTTGTTTGACATAGATATATTTTGTAAAATTCTCACAATAAATTTACTTTTGATGGTGGGAAATGCTGTAGTCCCTTGTTTTAGGCAGCCAAAGATACTGGGGGTTCAGGTGTTAACCTCCTTTTTCCACACTGAGAAAAGTGATGGAACTTAACAAAGTTTTACCAATACTAGTTCAGGCAGAATAGTATCAAATAGGTAATTGCTTCTTTTCAAGTCTTCTTAATAACTGTGATTATGTGGATGACTAGCAGATGGGGTTTGCATTTTATCTCAACGTTTTCCATTTTAAGATGTAAAAAAAAAAATGCTGTTTCTTGTCTCAAGTCTCTCAAATCATCTCCATAATAAATAAAAATACTAAACCAGATCACAAGTAGGGGAGAGACATCCTTTTTTCCATTAGTAAAACCAAGGTGAATTATAGAAATAAAATAAATGAATGTAAGTTGAGAATCTATTTGGCATGCTCTTGCCTAGAGAACTTGTCAGTCTGCCTTTGCTGTAAGTGTAGCCTTTTTTCCACTAAGAATTAGGCCATTCGATACTACTACTTCCCTGTACTTTTGCCTACTTTATTATTATTTTTCTTAACCTGTAATTTTCCACATCTTAGCAGTAAAGTCTGTCAAGGGACAAAAAAATGGACCTCCTTGTACCTTGGTATTATGAGAGCTGGAGACGATGCATATCTCATTCCCATGTTATTTTTATAGTAGAAAAGCAAAAGCGCTTGAATCAGACTAAAACCTGCCTTTTTATAGCTCTGTGCTCACAAATACACCCTAAATCTAGAGCTGACCTAGAAACCAAAAGTCTTTCAATTGTAAGTGTTATGCAAAAGGTTAGAAGCATTTAATTGAGGTTTCTGGGCTATACACAGAGCTTTAATCTAGATTACAACCAAGAACAGCATTTCGTCTTAGGCTAAGCCCTAACCAGCAGGTATTTGTGAGGGCAGTCAGACATCCTATAACTTAAGCACAGAAGAGAAAATGCTGGCAACTGGAACCACAGAACCGCTAACTGAGGCTTCTCCTCTAAAAGCTTTGATAACATGGGGCCAGATTTTAGTACATCAGAATATTAAGTGACTTCATGCGCGATTTTTAAAACGTAACGTGCTTGGTTGGGGTCCCACCTGTGTCTCTAACTTAAATGACGTTAGTTGAGATTTTAATTTGGGTGTTTTTGTTATTCTCTAAATGGCGCTAGCCAGTGTCTTCATATGACTTTGCAAAATGATCTCACAGACATTAGAAAAAACACTGTAAATGGCCACAGTGATTCATGCTCTCTTTATCATTGCTTAATTGAACAAATCTATACCCTACTTCCATTGGGATACTCACAGAGGAAAAAATAAAAGAATTAAGAATTGGGTGTGAGCACCAATGTGCTTATTGAGCTTTTTGAAAATAGCAACACTTCATGACATCTTTCCAAATCACAGTCACTTTATTTACGCTAGGAAAAATGCAGAATAAATTCAAGAGGGCCCTAATTACAAAATGCTTTCAACTGCTGAATTATAGGGCAAGTAGTATGGAAACACAATTGAATTTTTGACAAATCCAATTACCATCGGGGTCCCCTCCAAGTTTAAGCAGTTCTTAAGAGAAAATAATAATTCCTGAAGAAGAGAGGTGATAGAATTTATTTGAATGACTTAAAATAGATGCTTAAAAATAACGGCCACATGGAAGATAATACTTGTATATGCATATGAACAATATATACTAATATGCTTACACTTAGAATCTAAGGCTGTTTAGAAATTATACTTGCCTTAAAGTGGGAAGGGAAAATGGACACATCAGTAGACAAAGCACAAGGAAATCTGAGTTTGGGTCATAGCCCCGTCAGTAAGTGGATAGGCTGCCTTGACTTCTCTGAGGATCCACTTAGCCATGACCACTTTCATTTCTGATTTCTGAGAGGTATCTTTATACCACTTTATCAGTTATTTTATTTACACAACAGTCTAATGAAGCAGCGGTGTAAGTATTTTACTAGATATTGAGGTGTCCGTATTTAGAGATGAGAAAACTGAAGCTCAGAGAATTGTCTCAGTTACACAGTGTGTGATTGGTAGAACTCATCTTAGCATCCAGCTCTTCTCATTCCTCATCCAGGGTATCCTCTGACCAACATCACTGATGAGACTTTCCGACTGATGCAGGGTGTGACAGTGCCTAAGTCACTTAGCATAGGTCCGAAAAGCCCAGCCTTATCTTTTTGCTTAAAAATCCACGTTATCACTTGGCATTAGCCTTCCGGATAACACAAGCATTGCATTTTAGAATTTCATTTGCTGTTTCATGACATTAAACCTAAGGCATTGACATCGTACGGGAACTCATCATTGATCCAAATGCATCACGGAGTCCTAGCATTGAGAAAGGTCAGGGGCACCTATACCTAAATGATACCACAGGTGATCGACTCACCTCCAATTGCTTTTTTTGTCTCTTTAATTTCTTATTAGCCAAGGAATATCAAGTCATGTCAGGTTATTTATTGGCAATGCCTTAGAATTAGCAAAAATAAACTATTGCACTCCTGGATTTTTTTTTTTTAAGTTTTTTGTGCTTCCCGCAGTGTATTTCTGTTAGGGAAATTACCATTAAAATTTTATTTTAAAAGTCATATGGGCATGTATTTTAAAAAATTTTTAGCCAAGTCTAAATATATTAAGTGAAATTAAAATGCCGCTTTCCAATTAAACGACAAAGACCAAGAGTTATAATGGGTATGATTACCTGGGTATCTGTTTTATGTTGCATACCATGTTATAGATGTAATCCGTAGTATCTGTAGTGTTCAGGTCAACCTCCAAGGCTAGTTGTCATCATATGAATTTACAGATGAAGAAACAGAAACGTTGAAAAAGTCTGCCAGCTCGTTTATGATTATTGCTAGCAAGTGACAGAGCCAGAAGGCTCATCGACACCCGTCAAAGACTACTATTCTCCACTGGGCGGGCCCACAGGCCCTTTGGAGGTCATGATGGCTGCACCTGTGTACAGCATATCTAATTTTAAAATGGTGCCTTTTTGGCCAGGAAGGCTCTCTAGGAATTTTGAAATACACATTGTGAAACACTTAAACAATAGAGACTTTAGAACTACAGGTCTTCGTGTGTGTTCTTAGACTCCAGTCACAGTGAATTTTTCCGAAGAATAAACGGCACAGCAATGATTTTCAGGGGAGTTTTTTGTTTGTTTAATATTACTTTCTAAGGTATATTGGGAAGAAGCTTGAATAAGAAAACAGTAGAATTAAAACTAAATCTCAGTTTAAAAACACCGATGTGACCTTGGGCAAGTCACTTAATGCAGTTAACAGTAACTCTGTGGGGGAGCTATCTCATTTTATAATTTGATGAACATTTTAAACCCCACTTGCAAACAAACTACAACTATACACTTTATTGGCGCACTTATTTCAGAGCATAGGGGACACACAGACCCTTTACAAACCCATTCTCCAGTTAGGAAACCTTTGACTTAGGTTTTTTGTTGCTGTTCTCTTTTCTCATAAAACAAGGCTATGTAAGACCCTACCGTCCCTAAAATTCTGAGCTTTGATTCTAATTCCTGAGATGCAAAGATACTATAAGTAGGCAAATAGATATTAAATCTAGACATGAAAAGATTAACTTCTTCAAGGAAAAACTAAAACATCGGAGGGTTTATTCTCAATAAATTTCTTAGCTGGTATGCAGCTC